AATAGTTTACTCAAAGATCAGAATTCTTGTTTTAGACTTGAATTGTATCACATATATAGTTTTAATAGTCAACAAACCATTGGTGTGAATATTGTATTTTGTCTGGGCATTTTTAATATAATAATAATAATAAATTTAACCAAAAATAAAATTTTAATAATATAGATAAAATAATTTTTTTAATTAAATAGGGATTGGTTTTATTTTTAGCCTAGATAATCTTCTCTTAGCTAAGATCTAATTTCTTTTAAAACAATTAGTTTGAAAAAATAAAAAAAAATATTTTCTTTTAAATTTTAATAAGTAAGAGAATCTATGTTAAGAAAACATCTTCTATTCTAGATAATCTTTCTTTTTAAAATCAAAATTTAAAAATGGTAGAAAAAAAATATAAATTTAAGATAAGATACTTTATTCTAGATAATCTTATTTAAAATTGAAGATGTGACATATAAAAAATAATAATAAACAAAAAGGGTTGTAATTAAAAAAAATAAGAATGAAAGTTAAACGTTGAAGCATAGCGTTTAACCCTTCAGTCGTTCAAATGCCTTGCTTCTTCAGTCACATCTTGTATTAATTTACTTAATTATCCTCAATTAACTCATTTAATCTAGATTTGAAAAAATAAACTATTGATAGGAGCAATTATTAGCTCTTAAAGTAATTAAAACAAAACAAATTTGCCCTTGTGGTTAGATACTAAAAAAGTCTGTTAGTTATGGGGATGCGGTCCACACGACAGTTGAGAAAGGGGATACTTATCCAAAGCTTCCCGTTCAGATGGTTTTGCTGGAGGGAAGATGGTTCTCAGGCTTTGAAGGTTTGGATTCATCGGTAGTGGCAAAGGAGAGTGCAAGAAATCAAACCCGTGACAACTATACGCCATGTGTCACAACAACTGAGCCCTACTTGGCCATATTTAATGGATGCTTTTTTTTTTTTTTTATATTTTACGGTAGAGGCTAATTTACCCTTTTTTAATTACTTTAAAAGCAAAATTTCTTCGACTAATAATTTAAGATACTGAGTACTCCTTCACAAATACTTTAAGGATAAAAATGGACCTTTATCCTTTTATTAATAACCAGATATATTATGTATTTCTTTCTCATCTATATAATATGCATTTAATAATATTTTTATTTAGTTATTACATCACCAATTCAACAAATAGTCAAATAGATTAGACCATAAAAATCAAGATTTGATGCTTTGTTTTGATTTAACATCTAATCCAACTCATTTAAAACATTATAGTTCAATGAAATACTTATTTATGACTAGTTTGATAATGATTCGTATATTGACCAGTTCAATGAGACGTCCAAATTTCAATACCTTAGTTAGGATACTTAACTACAAGTGTAATGTCTTTCAAATATTCAAAATATAGTGATGTAATTTAAATCTAACGAAAACTCAAATGATGTCAAGCACATAAATTGGGCCCACAAAATAGTGGCATATCGCATATCTATATGGAAAAGTCTTCGAGTATTAGAGGACATTTTAACCTTGAGGTATTCTTAAAGAAGCAAGTGGTACCTTGAAATTTAATGTACCTTGAAAATGATGATGAAGAGAAGATGGCATACACTCTAACTCCTTCTACATTGCCTGTCCAAGGCATAAAACCTAATCGAACACTGATGGTGTTAACGTCTTTACATGTTGATTTCTCTGCTTCAAGGGAAGGTGGTTCAAAGGGGGTGAGAATAAAACCCTTAAAAGTGTATTTGGTTTAGAGCCTTATAAGTTGATTGAACGTGATTATTAGAAATTGAAGTTTTTTAATGACGTTATGGCTAGTGATTTATAGATGATCAATATGGCTCTTAGAGACTCTAAGTCGGTCTTCTAAGAATTGGAATCCATAGTTGATGTCGGAGGAAGCACAAGCACCACATGCAAAATCATCTCTGAAGCATACCCTAATCTAAAATGCATAGTTTTTTATCTTCCACAAGTTGTTGAAAATTGTTCAAGAAGCAAAAACTTGAGTTATGTTGGTGGAAGTATGTTTGAATCCATCCTTTTGCTGAAGCAGTTCTATTGAAAGGCAAGTTATTTTCTTACATTCCTTTGGAAGAATTTCAATTAGGACTAGTGATTTTGGCATTCAAATCAGATCCAATGTACTTTGAAAATTCATTGCAGGACCAAGCCACTAAATTGAAAAATGTTTTGAAGGGAAGTGACCATAATGCCCTTTATATATTATTTTTTTGAAAAGGAATCCACATTAAGCTAGGTTTCTTGTTAATATATAAAGGGCATTATGGTCATTTTTCTTCAAAACATATTTTCAATTTAATACCATGATACTATAGTTAAATTTTAGAATTCATTGGACTTGATTTGAAATAATGTCACTATCACATCACTAGCCCTATATTAAAATTCTCCCAATTCCTTTTCTGATGACTGCACCTAGAATTGCAAGCTTTCTATGATGTTGATACATATTGAATGGATGCCTGAAAAAAAAGGTGGTAAATTATGATGATGTCAATTTTGTCTGGTGGATATTACATACTTGAGATGATGAAAATGCCATGAAGATACTGAACAATTGTAAGGAAGCAATCTAAAAGAAAGGAAATGGAAGGAGGGTGAAAATCATGGACAATGTGATAAAGAAGAAGGAAGATGAACATGAAATGACAGAAGTGAAACTCTTGTCTGCCATTATGATGATGAGCAATTTCAATGGTAACGGGAGAACTGAACAAGAATGGAAGAAACTTCTAGTCTCTGCAAGCTTCAAACATCACAAGATTGCTCCTCTTTTCGGTTTAGGATATTTGGTGCTTATCCTTAGTTAATCAATATTTGGTTTGAAACTTATTGGCCGATATGTAATTAGCAGTTTATATTAATCAAGATTTGAATTTAAATTTAGAATTGAATCAAATCTCTCATTTGGTTATACAAAAATTTATGTAAAATCCATCTTTCTTATTACATTTCTTTTATAATTTTAAACTCTTTTTATATTCTAATCATTTGAAATTATGGTCATTCTAAATTTTTTATTTTCTTTATATTTTTACTATTAATACTTTTATGACTTTTGTATCTTTTATAATCTCTTGTGGATTGAAAAATATAGGTAAACTCATAACTATTAATTTTTCATTTTCATTTTAAATATCAACTTGTTTCTCTTCTTCATTTAATTTTTTTTTAATCTATGCAAACAAAGAGTTTTTTTAATAACCCCAAAAACTTTATTAAGAATTAAAGTTTATGATAAATTATTTTAAGAGTATTTGTTTTAATTTTGAAATAAATTTATCAAGAGGGATTGGTGATTTTATGGAAACTTTACTTACAATCTATTTGCATTCAAATCTTCGTGGTGATAGTAGAGGAATTTTATTTATGACTCAGCATTTGGAAATATTACTAAAATGCCAAAAAAAAGACAAAAAAAATATATCTATATAGAGATTTGTCGGTTTGTTCTTTTTCTTTTTATATATAGACGTAGTTTCCCCACGTCCTTCGATTCTGTTCTGGAGCTAAGCGAGAGCGAGAGAGAGAGAGCCCAAACCTTACTCTGCAAATCCTCATCCCTTCTGCCGCCGGTGTTTTTGAGTGGGTGAGTGAGAAATTTTCCGATCGCCACAAGTAGGAGTACCAGTGTCGTCGGACCATCTCCATTTTCTCCCCATTTTCGTGCGTGTGCCTGTAACACAGAGAGAGAGAGATAGAGAGAGAGAGCAAGATTGAACCAGTTTCAGACCTTCACTGTTCATTCGTCCTCTCTCATCACCGTCCTTCCTCTTCTCGTCGCCGGTGAGGGTGTGCACAGAGGAGCCGAGGTCGCTGTTGCTGGAGGCAGCCACAGATTCTTGTTTCTTTTTCTCCGTCCCTTGTTATGTCATCTGAGTTTTTACCCCTGTTCCACTTCGTCTTGTTCTGGTATGAGTGTTGAAGCTTTGGTTTTATCTTCTTGTTTTTCCCTACTGCGTGGTGTGTGCATGTTTGAATCTCTGTTTTTTTTTTCTTTTCCCTTTTTCTTTTTCTTTCTTTCTTTCTTCTCCTTTTTGTTCCAGCCTCTGTGTGTGAGTAAGAGATAGAGAATGGGATTTTAAGTAAGATAAAAATTGAGGATTTGAAAGCTCACCTTGGATAGGCAATTATACTTCAACTGCTCAAGCGTTTTCGGTTGCTATATGAGAAGAATGATGGGTTAGGTTCTGTTTTCATGGTATTTAAATTGATTTTTGAAGCAGGGATGAGTTTCATAAGCATAGTAAATTTGTATGTGTTTGGAAATTGTTGGGTTAGAAATTTAAAGAGTAAGATGGTTGTCATATGGTTAATTTTAAATGCATATGAGGTATTTAATAAAATGTTTGATAGGAAAATTTTATACTATGATAGTATATAAATGTGTTAAATAGGCTGTTGTTGATTAAATTGTTATTGAAGGCAATTGCTTTTCTATAATGGAAGGCTGGAAATGAAATTAGAAAATTTTAGAAAATGTACTCGGTTAGTACTTTAAAGACAAAATTTGTTTGTTCTTGTGTTAATTTTTGTGCGCACATAAAATGTCTGATGAATGTTTGAGGAAGGAAATCTTTATAACTTTGATATGCATGAATGATGACGTTAATTAAGTTGTAGAAGTTTATTTTCTATAAGAAAATTTGAATGTTTTAAACATTATTTGTATAAGTATTTCGAAGATCAATTGTCACACTCCGATATTAAGAGTATGATCGACATGAAATATGAAGTGAACGCACCTTGAGTTGACTAGAATTTAAGATAAAATAGTGATATGTATAAGTTATATATAATATTAAAGTTCGTACAATTTTAAAATTTTTGTAGAAATTTCAGCAGAGTTTTCTCTATAATTTGAACCTCCCGAAATTTCTACAACAACAACAAAACCTACCAACCAGACCAGCAAAGTGACTAGCTCCATTCCAACAATTTTTACAATAACAAAATAAGACTAGGATTTAATTATGATATATGTGGAGCACTAACTTATAATTTACAAAATACAGTACAAGGTTTCACCAAAAAGAATAATCACCATGTGCTTCCTTTTTTAAAAAGGCAAGAAGGGCCCTCAATGGCCAGTTGGACGCACAGGGTCAGCTATAATATCTGAAGGCAAAAATTTACTGGTAAGTAGTATTCTAATCAAAATTTTAATAATGAAAATATGAAGCTAATAAATAATAAATTTAACTTCAAATGACTTAATAAAACGATGAATTATCCTTATACTAGAAATAAATAATGATTTTTCATAATAATATAAATGTGGAATTAAACAATATTGGTAGAATCACATATATGTATTAACATTTTTACTTGCTCATAAAATATAAAGATTTTCAATAATAGTGCAGTTCGATGAAATACTTTTAGAGAATTACTAAAGAAATGATAGATTTTAGTTTCACTTTAGGAGGGCTTTATCAGAGCGAATAATAAGCATGGACACACAATTCATGAGGGTAAATAGCTAATCAAGTGTGGATACACAATCCATGAGGGTAAGTAACCAGTTGAGCGTGGCTAGAAGTCACGAAACAAGCACGATAATAGTCACAAATTAAGTACAGGCATGAAGGCCACAAAAACAAGTGTGAATACAGTGCTCAAGAATACCATCCTTCCGATCCACATGTGTTAGCCTTCACACGAGACTAGCACCTGCTATAAATACCTTGCTAGCTAGGTTTTTCATGGCATGTCAAGGGCTAACAGAACTGTCATTAGCATCCAGCGTTTTGAACTCAATCTCCCTAATTAAAATCAAGCATGCATAGAGTTGAAAAACAATTTCAAAATTTTCACTTTTAAAATATATGATTTGGTTGTCATCTTCCGTTCCCATATTCATTGTCATTTCCTTCATGCACGAGTTGCTATACTAAAAGTTTACATATCAAACATAAAGTTAAACAATTGGATTGTTTTTGAAAAGTAATATCGTTTGTCATACATCAACTTTAATTATTACTTATCAATCGCATAAATCAGTATTAAAATCAAGATATTATTATTAATAAAATAATTATTAAAAAATAGAATTGACAAGAATGTTTATATAACTAATAAAGAAATAGTATTAAAATTTAAGTAAAGGAATTTTTATAAAAAATTGCTTGAAATTCATTCGGAACATTATCTACTCACTTGAGAGTTTTTTCTAAAATTATAAAGCATGCTTCTCTTAATTTTTCACTTTAATTCTAACGGTGTTCCTAATTTCTTGACAAATGAATCATAATTTTAAAATTATTTATCAAGAAATTTTTCAATCACTATTTGTACATTAAAGTTCAATCCAAACGATATTAATGATAATGTTTCAATAAATTATGTTTTAAATATACTTAAGTCAGTTACATTATTTGACAACTTCCCATTTATCTTCATAATTCCTTATGACTTATGCTCATTCATAAACTATAATAAACCATATCCATTATTCTTAAGCTTCCTCTAGACTAAAAATGTGAAACAAGCATTGTATATAATCCATTCTCCCATTTTGATATTTTAAAATTTTTAATTAACAACTTGAACTAAAATAATAAATACTTCTCCAAGTGAATCTTAACAACTCACAATTCACTAAATTTTTCTATTCCACATTTTTGCAATTATATTAAGGGCATGTATTTATCATTGACAAATTTATAAGATAATTACCCATGCATTTCAACAACTTTCCTTCCCTCCACATCTTCTTTCTAATATATCCACAAATACGTTGATGACATTCTTCAATAATTAAGTTATGAAATGAACACCTTCAAGTAAGTTCTACAGCTCCCAACATTAAATTCTACGGTTAAATATCAGCTCAACATCATTGTAAACCATTTCTAGCATCAACCGAATTTTCTCCTTAAACTCAACTAAAATATTACAACCACAGTGAAGAACAAAACCTACACCCAATGGCTGGAAAAAGAAGGAATGATTTGATGGGCTATATAATCTGAAGAGCAAGGAAGGAACACAACATCTTACCTCAACAAAGTTCAGTGGCAACAAACAGAAATCAGCCACTGGACAGCATCGAAGGAGAAAAGCTAAGGGTTCCAATCTATCATACACATGAGAAGAACGAGACTATAATTTCAGCCAACAATAAAAGAATCATCTACTACATGCACACACGCTGGATTTCGACAGAAAGGAAGGAAGAAAAGAAGAAGAAGAAAAAAAAAACTAACCCCTGAATATGCACCTCGGTTAAGCACAAAACAGAGCAACAAAAACTATTCAACATCTCCACCTGACAGAGACGAACCAAGACAGCGAAGAGGAAGAAGAAGATGGAAATGAAGACATCAACTCGATCGAAACCTCTCGGCCATAGAGAACAGCACGATGATATAAAAGGAGAATCAGCAACCAACTCACTGTGGCTGGCGAACGTGAATAAAGATGATGACAGCGGATGAAGCACAACAGCGAGAAATCAATCCCTCATGACAGAGAGCTATGGACGTTGATAAGAGACAGAGATAGACTGACTATGAATGTCTAGAAGAGTGTATATTGGCGGTGGGAAAAAGAAATGAGATGCTCTGTTTTCTTTGCACGAAAGAAATGGCTTTGCGATCGAAAGAAGGGTTGGGAAAAATTACAAAAAGCGGCATGAGAAAATCACAAGAAAAGGCACCAGAATATTATAAGGAAGGACACAAGATTTTTTTAAAATTTTAAAACTAAATTTAATTTATATTTTTTTTAATTTAAAATTTAGAGTCATTACAAATTGATTTAACTCAATATGAAATTTTATTGTGAATGATTAACATTGATATTTTCTTTTATATTGCTTGGAATTATCTTATAATGATGAATTTGATATTATAAAGTGTATAAAAGAAATAATCGATGACATTACTTTGGCCGATAGGAAACTAAGAACCAAACTGTATTACAAAAGTGCCTGATTAGGAGTATGTTCTGTATTTGGAAATATCTTGGGTAAGTGAATAGCGTTTCAAATGACTTATTAGTAAATTTATTTTTTTTCACAATAATGTTTAAATACATTCATGATTATATGCATCGTTATATTTGAAATTTTGTTATCAATTATCACGAATAAAATATGTTTCTATTGTACAAAGTTTTATGAGAAGAGTTTGGATTATTTTATGATGGGCTATCTACCTTTATTTAATATATATTTGCAATGTTTGATTTTATGGATTTAAAGTGTGGAACTCAATCAGAACACTGGTTACTAATAACAGTTTTATTAACCCTTGGCGTGCTATGGTATACCTAGTTAGTAGAGTGTTAGTAGGAGGTGCTAGCTTCATGCGCAAACCAATACACGTGGAACAAAAAGGATGGATATTTGTGAGCATTACACTCACACTTGTGTTCATGGTTCCTGCCACTCTTGTTTCATGGCTTCTAGCTATGCTTGACTGGTTATTTACCCTCGATGATTGTGTGTCCAAGTTTGTTTGTTATTTATCCTTGTGAACTGTGTGTCCACGCTTATTATCTGTTCTAGTAAAGTCCAATAAAAGTTTTTTTTATTTACTGTTTTTTAGGAATTTTTTTTAACAAATTACCTTTCATAAATAATTTTTTTGAGCTATGCAACTTTTAACTGTTTGATATTAACGCGATAGTCAAAACAATGAAATTTGATTGACGTGTTATCTTCATATGAAGATTTTTTTAAAAAAAAAATTTAGATTACGCGCTTTTGTCATGTTAAATGACTAATTTTATTTAATTCATGTTTAATCTATTTATATTTCTTTCTTTTATTTCCTTTAATTTTAATATGAGACGTTGTTCATTGAAAAAGATATTTTTGACTTCAAATGTTATCAAATCTGCATCTTGAAGTGTCCACAAAGGAGTTTTATTGTTGAATTGAACTGGAAGGATTATTTGAATCGAAACTCAATTTGATGTAAATTTGAACTTACTATTTGAACCTAATCCTAGATGCTTCACCTAAACTATAGGTAAGATCCTCATTTTTCTATTAAAATCACTGTTTTGAAAACCGGACTGGACCGGCCGGTCGGACCGGTCAGACCGTCGACCGGTCTGGTTTTCGGTCTGGTTCAAAGGAAAAAACCGTTTTCAGAGTTGAGCCGGGATGAGCCGTTTCGAACCGGTGGTCGGACCGGGAACCGGCGGTCGGACTGGGAATCGGATCCGGTTTTCAAAAACCGGACTGTTCAAAAAAAACTTTTTTTTTTATTTTTTATCAAATTTTTTTAAAAAAATGACTAATTTTTTTAATCATTTGATATTATAGTGTATCATATAGCTTGTTAAGTCGTGATAAACTTAAAATATTTAAGTTTTTTAAGTTAAGTAGCAATTTCATATGTATTTCTTATATTTAAATTATTATATACATGTATTTTTTTTAATTTAATTATTACGTCAATGGTCCAACCGGTTGAACCATGCGAACCGTGAACCGCTGACTTTTCCGGTTCAATGTCCGGTCCGGTTCTGAAAACACTGATTAAAATTGTATATTTGATTTGATATTATAAATTACTGATGTAAACAAAATTCTAGAGGTCTTGTTTTTAGATGGGGTTTTGTTGAAATTTCTTTGTAAGTTTATAATTTTTAGTTTATATGGAAAGCATGGAAAGAATTTCTAATTATCCTATTAATGTATTCAAATTATTAATTTAAGATTTTCTCCTATCAAGGCTTAAGGGATATGAAATATGGGTGTATATCCCTTGCTAGTCACACATAATTTTTGAGGTGTGATAGTTTTGAATACATGAGTTCTAAATGTGAGATTTATAATACATTGAATATACTTTATTACTCAATTCCGACTCTTCTACATATTTTAACAAATATCTTGTGTGCAGTATCATCAAGCTTCTTGTTCTTCCCAGCTAGCTAAAAGAAACCCCAAATTTCTCTTCTATTCAACGTCTTATGGGCATTTAACATACAAACATCTTATGTGCATCAACATATAAACACAAAGTAGGCAAGAAAGAAAATAATCAAGGACTGAATTTCTGGCCCAAACCACAATGCACATACAGATTCGACGATAGGGAGAGAAGGGAGGTGGAACAATACTCACCAACAGAGTAAAGGAGAAATGAAAAGAAGGAATGGAAGTTCCCTCATTCACACCAAAACAGCACGATGTCTGATAGAGAAAAAGGAGGAGTCTGGTAGTGCAAACAGCGGTGGAGGAAGGAGAATATGACGTCTTTGACACCCACGCCTTGATCTGCTGCAGCGATGGCTTCTGAAATCACTCACTTGCCGACAACAAAGAAGAAGAATATGATGCGTCGAGATGAAGGGTGGAGGAAGAGGATTCTCGAAGCGCTCTCTTTTTCTGATCGCGGACGTAGAAATGGAAAAATAGGAGAGATAGATGAAAAAATCTAGTATGATGTGTGTGTTTTTTTTTTTAATAGGGGCATTTTGATAATTTTACAATGTTAAAAGTGAAATAAAATCTGTAATTCAGCACAATAGGAATTTGAAAAACATAAGTTCCATTGAGCCACTAATACATCTCGTTGCATCAACTCCAAATATTATAAATATATCATCAAAATATCTTATATTGGTTTTTTTTTTTTTATTTTCAAACTCATCACACTCGCATATATGCCTGTTAACAACATTTAGGTCAAAACACTAACAAGAATAATTAATTATTTTATTTTAAAATTTTCAAGTTCCAACCAACTTCTCTTTTTCTGTTAGAACAAATTATTTATCACATATTTAACAATTTCTAGATTTCCCCATTACACCTATTATATAGTTTGGCCACAATTTTGATCAATTTAGGTTTTGTTTGGTTGGAGGGGAGAGAAGGGGTGGGAGGAGAATCCTATCAATTTAGGAGGGAGGTTTTGGAGGAGAGAGAAGGGAAAATTTTAAACCTTACCAAACAAGGGAAGGGTACAAGCTCCCTTCCCCTTGTTCCATCCAAATAAGGGGAGCCCCTCTAAACAAACACTATTTTAAAGATCAAACTATATATAATGAATATTCAAGGTAATTGTATATATTTGAAACTATATAATAGTTACTTTCAAATAACGTTATATATTTCAATAATTTTTTAAAAAAGAAAAACAGGGGGTCTATTTCTTGCAACCCCTCTACAATACAATATATAGAAACAAATTCTAACAGCAAATCTAGCAACCAAATTCCAAAAGCATCCAAAATTTGCACGCATTGAACTAATTTCAAAACCTAATGTTATTTTCCAATAACAATATGATCACTGCTACAAAAGCTATTTACAACTACTTGAATTGTCCCAAAATGCCAGTACCATAAATTATTTAAAAACAAATGGTCAAGTTAAAACTTGCAAGTTAGCCAAAATGAACCAAAAACCAAAATTGGTGAAAAAAAAAGTTAAAATTGTTTGCCCAAGTTGAAAACTTAGAATAATCCTAAACTATTGAAATGCATGAACAAGTGATCGATTCCTTTTCAGCTTTTACCAATTGCTTGAAGATATATAAAATGGGCCCACCTATACATGCTTCCACAACTACGTGATCAAAACTTGAATTAGTCCCACCTTTACATACCTCCAAAACAAATTAATACAAAAAAAATTACCCCTAAATTATTTGTGGGGAGTAATATTTTTCCTATACTATTTAACATAGCATTGTAGACTAACTAAACTAAAACAATGTTGTTCCCATAGTTTAACATCTAAAAAATGTTTGTCATTGTCACACCTCAAAAATAAAAGGTGATCGGCACGAGATATGAACCCTATCACACATTCCTTAAATCCTAAATTGAGAAATCTTTTCATTTTTAAAGTAGTTAAATTTGTACTAAAAAAATATGATATACTTAATAAAAATCATTATAATAAGAGTTTTAATATTTTTGTAGAAATTTTGACAAAATCTTCCTTCTAAATTGGATCTTCTGAAAATTATACAACACATTACCTTACACAAAATATAGAATCAAAATAGAATCCTAGTTATAGGCTACATGGAGCATCTAACCTTATTTTCAAAATAAAATACATGGATCTAAATATTTACATCAAAGGGAGATAGTGTTAAACAAAATTTTACCCAGAACAGTTGTATGCTCCTTAGAGATCAGCAATAGGATCAGCGTCAAATAATAAATTTGACATCAAAATAAATTCTAGTGAAAAGTATCCCAACAATAAATTATTAAATATGTATAAAAAGAAAGTTTAACATAATTATGTGTGCTAGAAATAACAATTTTTGCAAAGAAATACTCAATAAACTTTGTCATAAAAGGACTCTATGAAATGTTAAATAAATTCTTGATTAATGAAAATATTATATCAAATGTCATTATCATATAATTTCAATAAAGCAAATAATTGTATTAAATAATTATAAATATGTCACTAATCAAAACTAATGAAAAATATATCCATCAAATAATTAAAAACTCATAATTATAGGGATTTATCAAAACAACCAACAAACGTGGATACACAGTCCATGAGGATAAATAGTTAAATATGGCTTATGCCACGAAAATAAATATGGACATATAGTTCACGAGGGTAA